CATCCTTCTCTGCAACTGGGTTCCAGTTCAGTTCAGTGATTAGTTGTGGTGTCTGCTTCAACTTCCACCAGTTGTTGGATGAGGGCTATCAGGTGGCATATAAGTTAGTCATCAATCTCATTATCAGGGGAGGACATTTAAGGTAGCCTCTCCTCTGTTGCTTAGATTGTTAGCTGGTGTCATCTTCATAGATCTCCAGACATTTCCCTAGTGGCTGATTTCTCTGTAAACCTAAAATGTCTCCCTCTATTATGATATCTCCATCCTTGTTTTCTTCTATTCTTCGCCTGACTCAAGCTTTCTGCTCCCTCATGTCCTCCGCATCCCTCCTCTTTTCCCCTTCTCATTCTCCTAGCTCCCTCCCCCCTCTTCCTGTGCTCCCAATTTGCTCAGATCTTGACCCTTTCCCCTTCTCCAGGGCACCATGTATATCTCTCTTAGGGTCCTCCATGTTTACTAGCTTCTCTGGCAGTATGGATTGTAGGCTGGTAATCCTTTACTCTATGTCTAAAATCCACATATGAGTGAGTACATACCATGCTTGTCATTTTGTGATTGGGTTACCTCGCTCAGAATGGTTTCTTCTAGTCCCATCCATTTTCCTGCAAATTTCAAGATTCCATTGTTTTTTTCTGCTGAGTAGTACTCCATTGTGTAAATGTACCACATTTTCTCTATCCATTCTTCGGTAGAGGGGCATCTAGACTGCTTCCAGTTTCTGGCTATTACAAACAATGCTGCTATGAACATCGTTGAACAGATGTCCTTTTTATATGAATGTGCTTCTTTTGGGTATATGCCTAGGAGTGGAATTGCTGGATCTTGTGGTAGACTGATTCCCATTTTCTTGAGGAGTCGCCATACTGATTTTGACAGTGGCTGTACAAGTTGGCACTCCCACCAGCAGTGGAGGAGTGTTCCCCTTTCTCCACATCCTCTCCAGCATAAACTGTCATGCATACCACACATGTGCACACACATTAAAATGGAGAAAAAAAATACAGGAAACTTTCAAAAATAAATACCCTCACCCAAACCTATTTGTATTTTACTGACTCTCAAAGCTAAGGAAAGTTAGGGAATATGTGTTTCCATCTGGGCTCATGAGTGGCCTCTACACAAAGCTTTTGTCCTATCAGCTTTACTAGCAAATGTTGGTTGCAATGAGTCATTGGTCTACCTGGCTCTTTTTAACCCTGTCCACCAGGGCTCCAGAAACAGACTACAGTTCTTGATTCTTCTGCTCTGACTCTCAGAGAACTGTGTCCCTCTATTCCCTGAGGACATTTTAAGATGAAGAGGGCAGGAGGCACCTGCCCTTCAAAGACCTTCGAGCTGAGGTCCACTGGGCTCTGGACAGAGGCTCCAACAATTGAAGCCCTAAAGTGGTAGTTCCAAAGCAAGACTGGAAATGCAGAAGCAGTCCAGCTAGGAAGAACTGCCAAGCCCCTGCCTCGATGGAGGGGTCAACACACACAGTTAAATGGTAAAGTCACATGGAGCCCCCTCAGCCCTGCCAGGAATAAGAGCAAAAGTCAAGTCTGTGTCAACTTCTCCCCCAACCAACTTCAGCTTGCCTGCCTCCTGCCCTACCCACAACCACTCTGGACTCTTGTTGATAACTGGAAGTATTCATCTTGAATGATTTCTTCCCTCGATGTTATGATCAACTTCACTGCTGGACGCTCTGGTCCCTCCATGGCTTCCTTGACAGGATCCTTTCTTGACATGACTTTCATGCTGATGAGACTTGGCGTCACTGCCCTTCTAGCTTGTGATCCTGTGGTTAATGGTGTTTCTTCCTTCTTCTGGCAGGTGCTACAGTAATACAAAGAAGACTTTAGGGCACACATTAGCAGCATGGCTTATCTCAAATAATATCGTCCATGAGCCCAGGAGTGAAATTTTCCTTTACTTATTTGACTTTAGTCTCCATAGAAGATTCCGTAGGAGAGGTGAATGAGAACCACCCTGAGGTACTTCTCTTGATGGAGGACACGCTGAGACACGCCAAGGAGTTGAACTTTGAGCAGCCATATGAGAAGCATGCTGAGCTTCTAGATGAAGTCATCAAAGAGGTAAGGTTTTCAAGTGTCCTGGTGTGTGTCTAATTGTTCTAATGTTTTCGTTTACTGTAGTCTTGAAATTCGTGTACCATTTGTGTCATTTCTCATATTTCTAGATTTTTGAGAATTTTATACATGACTACAATGAAATATGATTATAACTGTTCCCCAGCTCTCCCTACACTTCCCCCCCCCCCCGTAACCCCAAAAGCACACCCTCTCCCAACTTCATGTCTTTATAAAACAATAGCTGAGTCCAGTTAGTGCTGCCCACATGTACATGAGTGTGGGCCACACACTGCCCGCAGCTGTCCCTCAGTACAGGATTCTCCTTCTTCCAGACTCCCCATACCAATAGCCGCGATAGGAAGTGCCTCACAATGCAGGGTGCTATAGCACTAGATGCGTTATCAACAAAATCAAGTGACGGAATTTCATAGTTCTGAAATTAATTAATTAAAGTTAATATAACTTACTGTCTTTGATTCAGTCCAGTCAGTAGAGAGATGGAGTCTCTGAAGCCACTGGCCACATTTAGATTTGAGCTAAATCGTCAGCGATTGAGTTCAGTCTCACTACGTGGCTACCTAACTTCATTCACCCACCCTAGCATGTGTTGACAAGGAAGTGTAGGAACACATGTAATTTTTCAGCCCAAAGAGGAAAACCAGCCTCAAATGGCATGCCTGTTCCAATAGCAAACCAGAACCTTTCTCTTGTTTATAAAGGATGAGGTATCATAGAGGTAGAATCTATGCAATAATCTTAGATAAACATTCAGAGAAAGCATGCAAGATAAATAAATGAGGCAGTTTTGGATTCACAGTGAGCTTTTCTATTTCCCTATGATTTAATTTTAAACTATTGTGTGAGAAACTCTGGGCACAGGAACTTAATCTTTAAGCCAAGCATTCAGAAGGCTGAGGCAGGAAGATCATGAATAATTTAAGGCCCGCCTTATTTACATAGGCAGGTCAGCTGAGGCTAAGCATAAGACCCTGTCTCACACACACAAAAAAATAATCTATGAGAATAAAAAGCTTATCTATCACAGGAGAACATCACTCTAACTCCTTGAGCCCTGGCTGTACCAAACCCCTTTGGGGACCTCAGTACTTCTGAGCTCAAACACACCTTTTTTCCCCCTCTATTTATTTTACATCCAGGCTGAAGACTGTCACCCATCCTCCCCTCCTAGTAACCCTTCTCCATTACCCCCTACACACACCCCAATTCCCTCCCAATTCAGTCTCCATACAGGAAAGACCAGGTCTCCTATGAGTATCAATAAAACATGGCGTATCAAGCTGCAGGAAGGCTAAGCACCTCCCCATGTATCAAGGCTGGGCAAAGTAACCCTGGATGAGAAGTAGGGTCCCAAAAAGCCCATAAAAAGAGTCAGAAACAGCCCCTGTTCTCACTGTTAGGAGTCTCATAAGAGGACCAAGCTATACAACCATAACATATATGCAGAGGGCCTAGGTCAGTCCCATGCAGGCTCCCTGGTTGTCAGTTCAGTCTCTGTGAACCCCTATGAGTCCAGGTCAGTTGGTTGCGTGAGCCTTCCCATGGTGTGCTTTTCCTTCCCCTCCTCTGTAGGATGCCCACACTCCACCTAATGTCAAACATCCTTTTAACCAATCTTTAGGTTGTTTGAGCAATAGTTTTTCCTTCAGAAGTGCCTGCTATTTCTGTGTACTATACTGGCCTGGAAGTCACTCACTGAGTCATTGTGTGGCAAATAGGTATCTTACAAGGCACAGGAATCCATCTTGGTCTCATCAGTGACACAAAACGCCCAGAGAAGCAAAGTGGGGAGAGGTGTCTATAAGCCTAGCCAAGGAGAGGTGTCTATAAGCCTGTGTTGAAAATGTTCCCTTTACTTTGCTGTGGAGAATACAAATCTCCAGGGAGTATGAATCCAACATTTCTGAGACAGCAATGAATGCACAGTGTCAGGGCTCAGCAGCTACACAGTAAACCGCAGCTGATGAGGCAGAGGTCTGTTATCATGTCCATTCCCACCATGTTGTCAGGCAGGAAAACCATTTTCATAAGCAGCTAGAGATCTGGGATATTGTAAAGAGTATACTCTTTTGTTGTTTGGGACAGAGTCTCTGTGTAACCCTGGCTGTCCTGGAACATATGAAGTCCAGGCAGGCTTCATCTCAGAGATCCTTCTGCCTCTGCCTCCTGAGTGCTGGGATTAAAGGCATATATCACCATGCCTGGCAAGAGTATATTCCTTAGGGAAGCTGGTCAGTCATTTTTTATTGAGTTGTCTTTTTTTTCTTTCTTTCTTTCTTTTTTTTTTTTTTGGTGTTTTGGTTTTTCTAGACAGAGTTTCTCTGTGTAACAGCCCAAGCTGTCTTGAATCTAGCTCTATAGACCAGGCTGGCCTTGAACTTACAGAGATCCACCTGCCTCTGCCTCCCAAGTTCTAGGATTAAGGGCATGCACCACCAACAACCAGCTGGATTGTCTTTTTAAATTTATATTATTTGAGTGCTCGAGAGCTAGTTCAGAAGTTAAGAGCACTGACTACTCTTCCAGAGGACCCAAGTAATATAAATTTAAAGCTCATAATTGTTGAACTCCCAACTCCAGAGGATTGCTCCATCTTCCGGCCTCTATGGATACTTGCATGCACATACACACAGCCATACAGAAACACACATACAAAATAGTTAAAAATAGAAAATCTTTAAGAAACATAAGTTTAAATTTCAATAAAGAATAATGAGATATAATTTCTCTGCGGAAAATTGGCCAAGATTTTATTAAGCAATCACTGCTCGTGAAACCATGGTGATAAAGTCATTTTCTGGTTGTGCCAGTGTGCTGGCTAGGATTATGTCAACCTGACACATAGACTAGAGTTATCTGAAAGGAGGGAACCTCAATTAAGAAACTGCTTCCATAAGATCCTGCTGTTAAGACATTTTCTTAATTAGTGCTTTGATGGAGAAGGGTCCTGCCCATTGTGGGTGGTGCCATCCCTGGGCTGGTGGTCCTGGGTTCTATAAGAAAGCAGGCTGAGCAAGTCAAGGGAAGCAAGCCAGTAAGCAGCATGCCTCCATGGTCTCTGCATCAGCTCCTGCCTCCAGATTCCTGCCCTGTTTGAGTTCCTATCCAGACTTCCTTCAGTGACGAACAGCAATGTGGAAGTGTAAGCCAAATAAACCCTTTCCTCCCCAACTTGCTTTTTCGTCATGGTGTTTTATTGCAGTAACAAAAACCCTAACTAAGACAGCCAGAAAGGGTAAAAATTGGAACAGATGTCTTTGGGACGCAATGTGGCATCCTCTGGAAATATTACTTCAGCAAATAAATAATCCCTGGATAACTGCTTCTGTGTAAGGTTGTTCTTCACAATGTTATTAAAATAACCTAACGCATAAGGAAGTTCATCGCTGTTATAATGCAACTATAAATGACATAAATACTAACTAGATGCATTCAGTGCTACAGATTAATAGATATGAGAGTGCACTGTTATGTAATAAAGGCTTTGTTTCCTTTCTCAAGCTAGTAAGACTTGATCACTTCAAAATTAAACCTGTCTTAAAATGAAGTCCCTCTTATTTCCTTCTCAGAGTCAGGACCTAATAGATGCTTGCTGGAATTCTACAAGAAAAACATCATAAATCTGTGGCTTGTCAACTCATGATAATGCTATCAATGTGTGTCTTCACAGATAACAGAAGATAACAAGAACAGGTTTCCTGGTGCCCCAAAACAAGGAGGATGGATTGTGGACAACTGCCCTATTTTAAGAGATCTGTGGATGGCCTTCATTGAAAAAGGAATTGTGCCTGATTTGGTTATCTCTTTAACAGATGGAGAAAACAATGGTTGGTAAATATTTATTATTTAAATTTAAAACAGATTGTTTGTTGCTGACATTTATTTTAGCTAAAATAGAATGGCGTACTCTCCTTAGATACAAATACCACTCCTTCTACCACCCCAGCTATGCCTGTAGGATCTAATGATGCCTGAGTGAGGCTTCTACCAACTGAGAAGGTGGCCTGGGGTATTGTGCTGTGACACTGAACCTTCTAGCAGTCCTCAGTAGTTGTTCTTTGGAGCTGAGAATTCAGTACCCCCCCCTCAGTCAGTAGCTGTAACTAGTAAATCAACACTGTATACAATCCTGATGCTAAATTTAAACAGCTGACACTTGACATTTTATGAAAATATATCTGAGCGATCGTGGGGTAAAGGTTTGTAAAGTCCACTCTGACAACCTGAGTTCAATGCATGTGACCCATATGGTAGGAGAGAACCAACTGTCACAAGTTGTCCTCTGACAACATCCATGCACATGAGTGTATTGCGTGCACGCACGCACACACACACACACACACACACACACACACACACACAAATAAATGCAAGAAAAAACATTTTAAAATATTTGAAATGAGAATTTCCAGGTGGAAAATAGATGTTTTTCATTATTTATTACATAGTAACATACATCTTTCAAAAAAGACTTAAGGCATTCTACTAAAATTTTAAAGACTCAGCTCTGCTTGATAAGCACTTAAAGGGAAATGTGTGTAGTGCATAGTCAGAGGTCATTTGTAGTTAATTTCCAAAACAGGCCACACACTATGCAATTTCAAAATAACCTTTTTCTTTTTATTTATATTTCAGGGAAATGTTTTTTAAATAGGATGTATTTAAGGGATAAGACTGAAATTGATGCTAAGATTTTAGGAAGATTGCTAAATGAATTTCAAATGAGTAAAAAGGAAGAAGAGGAAATTCGGTAAGGTTTGTGGGGACATAATGGGCTATGCACTGACCATGCCCGTTTTTTTTCACGTGTATGTGTGTGTGTGTGCAAACTGTGTGTGAGTGCCCACTGAGGACAGAAGAGGGCACTGGACCCCCTGGCGCTGAAGTTAGGTAGCTATGAGCCACCCAACATGGGTGCTGGGAGCCAAACTCAGGTCCTCTGCAAGAGCAGCAAGCACTCTTAACCACTGAGCCATGTCTCCACCTCCCAGTTGTTTTACCCTGGCTGTCCTGGAACTCACTTTGTAGACCAGGCTGGCCTCAAACTGCCTCTGCCTCCCAAGTGCTGGGATTAAAGGCGTGGGCCACCACTGCTGGGCTAGCAAGACACTCTTAACCAGAAATAGGTAGTAGTGTTTTCCAAAGAGAACTGATGTCACTAGCTGTCAAAGAAGGACAAATGGATGCAACGTCACACCACATGGTTCTTTGAAGGGCAGTCAGTGGCTCCAGGAGCTGCTGCAGGCACAGAGCCCACCTTGCTTGGTTTCCTATTGGTGAATATGTGGTGTTTTTGTTTTTTGTTTTTTGTTTTTGTTTTTATGATGATGATGATACAATCAACTTTTTGTTTTGCTTTTTTGTTTGTTTGTTTTGCAATCAACTTTTTATATGCTTCTTTGTGCAGTGGTATGGCTATTCCTAAGTTCCTAGGCATGGGATTTCTAGTGAAGATACATATCTCTTTGCTTTTTAATAAACAAGGCCTTTCTCCCCACATTTCCACTTACATATTTTCACCATTGTTAGGAGAGTAAGTGCTGCAACCTTAATGGACTACAGATTCCCTCTATGTACCGAGGCTTCTGTACTCAAAGATTTTCTCAATGTCTTGGGATGGGACATGTAGCTCAGTGGTACAGGGCCTGCCTAGTGCGAGCCTGGGTGCAAAAAAAAAAAAAAAGAAATTATCATTAGTCTGTTAAAACTTATTTTTTAATGATAAATTTTAAATTATGTATACATGTGGGGGTGATATGTGTACATGTGAATGCAGATAACCTTGGAGCTTAGAAGAGGGCTTTAGACCCCTCCTGAAGCTGAAGTTACAGGTGGTTGTAAGCTGCATGTTGGTGCTTGAAATAAAACCCAGGACCTCTGTAAGAGGAGCAAGTATTCTTAACACCTGAGCCATCTCTCCACACTCCAATTATGACTAAAAAGAAACACTGTGTTCTCTATTGAATAGAGAAAAAACTAATGCAAATGTTATAAACTGAACTCTAATAGTGCTACCATCCAGAAATAATTACTGTTTATAATTTGATTAATTTTCTAGCCTTCTAGTTCTCATATATACTGATACCAAGTTAAAATTACATCATACATATAGTTTTAGACTCCATGTCTTTTCACATTATACTGTGAATATCACCCACTGAGTCTGAGGGAAATGTTAGAGATTCCCCCCTCCCTCCTCTCAACTTACCTCAGGAAATCTTTCAGTCATTTTAACAGATTTCCTAACTGATAGCCATAGTTTAAAATATAACATTCCATAACCTTCTTACCAAAAATTCCACAGCACTGACTGCAAACTGACTGGCTTCAACCTGAGTGGGATAAAAGTGTACACTGTGAATAAGAAGCACAGTGGATGGTTAACAATGAAGAGCTTGCTGCTTGCTACTGAGAATTTAACTTTATAATAATGGGGTGGTCAGATCCTTCTGAAATTGAATTTGGACCTTTTCCTTTCAGCCAAGCCAAAGAAGAGCAAATGAGACTAGAAGAAGAAAAGCAGAGGATGATAGAAGCTGAGGCCAAGAAAGAAAAAGGCAGGCACAGACTGTGACACTGATAACATGTCATTCGATCTTGTATCATTCCTGTGTTTCCAAGTGTATGCCTGGGTCCTGAAAGTACCCCTTCCTTTCACAATGTGTGTTGTCGGTTGTTTTACTCTTTACTCTTTTGGGGGGCCCACCACCCAGCTCCCAAATACACACACACACACACACACACACACACACACACACACACACACACACACACACACACGGAGACTTATTCTTATGAATGCCAGGCCTTGGCTTGGCTTGTTTCTTGCCAGCTTTTCTTAAAATATCCCGTCTACCTTTTGCCTCTGGGCTTTTACCTCTCTCTTTTTTTTTTTCTCTCTCTCTCTCTTTTCTCTCTTTCTGTCATTATTGTTTGTCTCTCTCTCTCTCTCTCTCTCTCTCTCTCTCTCTCTCTCTCTCTCTCTCTCTCTCTCTCTCTCTCTTGCCCTCTTTGTCTCCCCCTCTCCCCCGCATCACTGTCTAGTTATGTGAAAGACCCCCCAGACCCCTAAGGGCCTCAGTCTGCCTCCCGAGTGCTGGGATTAAAGGCGTGCACGACCAACGCCCGGCCCACCTTTCTCTTTTTCTGTATATCTTTTCTTGTTACTCTGTGGCTGGCTGAGTGGCTGTGTGCCTGCCTCCCTCCCCCCTTTTGTTCTCACTCCTTGATCTGTTTTCTTTCTTTTACTCCTTCAATTTATTTTCTCTGGCTGGCAGTCCCGCCCATCCCTTATCATGCCTTGCTATTGGCCATTCAGCTCCTTATTAGACCAGTCAGGTGTTTTAGACAGGCACAGTAACACAGCGTCACAGAGTTAAACAAATGCAACATAAAAGAATGCAACCCATCTTCATATCATTGAACGAATGTTCTACAGCATAAACAAATGCAACACATCTTCAAATAATATCCCACAACAAACATGTTCCAATTCCCATAATAAATTATTTTCTCACTGGGATGATGAGTTCACAGGGTAAAGATTCCTAGTCAAAAAAAAAAAAAAAAAAAAAAAGGTGGTGCTCCTAACGTGAGACCCACCAGTGCACCCTCGAAGAAGGATGCACCACAGAATGTGCCGCTGTCATGGGTTACACAAAGCTGCTGGCATTGCTTCTGTTTGGAAGAATCCTACAAAAGCTGAGGACATAGCCAAACTATCGCAATTCCTATTGGCTTCATACTTAAGCTATAAATTTCTAAATTTTGTTTTGTTTTGTTTTTTGGAGACAGGGTTTCTCTGTGTAGCTTTGGAACCTGTCCTGGCACTTACTCTGGAGACCAGGCTGGCCTCGAACTCACAGAGATCCGCCTCCTCTGCCTCCCGAGTGCTGGGATTAAAGGAGTGTGCCACCACTGCCCAGCTCATCACTTTCTCTTTTAAGATTAAGGGTCTCAAACTGGGGTCTATGGATTAAATTCCAGGTCTTTGAACTTCATTTCTATTTTCAATAACCTTTAACTGAGCCTCAGTGTCTCCTTTGGCTACTAACACAGAAAACAAACCACAGTGGTGCTAGGTCCCTTGACTTAATATAAATGCAGACATTTGTGTATTGCACCATAGTTTATATCTGTGTTTACTGCTGTTGTAATTGTAGTAGTTATGAAGCTGGGTGCTACTTCTTCTTGAGCACATTTTCTGTAGCCCCAAAATAGTTTTATATTTTAGCACCTGTTTTTTTTTCAATATAACTGGTTTCTTGTGTGTTTTATCTTATAAACTTAAGAGTTATATTCTGAAAAGAGGTCCATAGGTTTCATGGGACTGCCAAAGAGGCCATGGGATGAAAAGAGTATCCATTGCTCCACCTCCAGCCACTCCAAAGCTTAGTTCTGTAAAAACAACCACCATTTTACAACACGGCATTCTGTGTGTTGGGACTTTCAGTGGGGCACAGTGGGTACAGCTGAGCTCGTTGGTTCTGGTTGTAAGTGATCCACACTGGAAATTAGTCCTTTAGCCCCAATTAAGTCCTCAGATACTGCAGCCCTGGTCAGCATCTTCTACAACTCAGGACACACTAAGGCTGGACAACTGCTAAATTCCTCACTCACAGAAAGGGATGATTTGGAGTGATTTATTATGAAACATTAGGTAGCAACACATGATCAATAGCCAAATTACAAATAGTTCAAATATCTTAAAATGCCTTTTAACCCAATCCTGACCTATTGGTGCACAGCTGCCCCACTGGGATCTTCTATTTTTTTCCTTTATAATGTACCTAATATAGATAAATATAACATAAATAAGTATACATAAATTGGAGGCATAGGATCATTTTTTAATAAGTGATACATTGTTGAAAGAAAATTCAAGTTCCTTCATAGAGGACATCACTTCATCACAAGTTGTACCAGGAGCCCAAAACACATTTGTGTGTATTATTTAGATCGAATCCAGGTGCCAGAGAATCACCGTCAGAACGTGACTTTTGGAAGAAAGCAGGGGAAAGAAATGCCCAGGAGAACTCGGAGAAACAAGCTCCCTGACTGCCATATCAACCTTTCACTGAAAGCACCGTGTTCCTGTCTTCATTGCTCAAAGCACCATATTTCCGTTTTTATTCAAAAAGCACCGGGTTTCCATCTTCATACTGAAAGCACCGTGTATCCGTCTTCATAATGAAAGCACCGTGTCTCCGTCTTCATATTGAAAGCACTGTGTCTCCATCGTCATGCTGAAAGCACCGTGTCTCCGTCTTCATGCTGAAAACACGGTGTCTCCATCGTCATGCTGAAAGCACCGTGTCTCCGTCTTCATATTGAAAGCACCGTGTCTCCGTCTTCATGCTGAAAGCACCGTGTCTCCGTCTTCATGCTGAAAGCACCGTGTCTCCGTCTTCATGCTGAAAGCACCGTGTCTCCATCTTCATATTGAAAGCACCGTGTCTCCGTCTTCATGCTGAAAGCACCGTGTCTCCATCTTCATATTGAAAGCACCGTGTCTCCATCGTCATGTTGAAAGCACCGTGTCTCCGTCTTCATGCTGAAAGCACCGTGTCTCCGTCTTCATGCTGAAAGCACCGTGTCTCTGTCTTCATGCGCACATTATTGTGTCAGTTCCATAACTATGTGAGAGGCATTGGGAAGACCAGCTCTCTGACAGCATTGCCGTCTCCCTTCTGAAGAACTTCCACGTCTGCCATGGTCATCCATAAACACATGAAATTTGGAATCATAAACTTCTAAATTTACAACTAACACATAAGTTAATATGTTATATTATTACTACAATGAGTTATAGAAAATCTATTATTACATCTATGCTAACTATGTCTCTATATAGGGAGTCTACTCTGTTGCTGCCCAATAGAAACTTAATGTAAGTCACATAAGTAACTTTTAATTTTCTACAGATACATGTTTTATATTAAGTTTTATACTAAATCTTTGAAAGTCATAATCTATTTTGTACTTACGTTGGTCTCAGTTTAGACTAGCCTCAAGTGCTCAGCAGCCACACACAGCCAGAGACTGCCATAGATGGTATGGATCTAACCATTTCCTTCTGAAATGGATATTGGGCTTTTTCTAGTCTCTTACTGTCAGAGTATTTGGGATGACTGTAAACATTTCTCCTTTAAAATGAACCCTTTCTCTGGTTCTCTAATAGCACCCTGATAGAACATTGGTCCTTCCTTACCACTCCATATTAGGAGATATAATACAGTAGCAATTTGTCTAGTTCTGCCATTAAACCAAATACAGGGCAAGCACCACTCTGGTGTCTTGTTGGCTTTAACTGAATGATAATTTGTTCCTTGTAATTCTCTGTAGATGTTGAGGAGCCTGATAATGAAGCTGATGAGGAGGTTGATGGTGAAGATCTTGAAGCCCATGAAGAGGCCGAGGCACCCGAGATGCAAGAGTACACCCGAGGGTCCTTGTTACCTGAGGGGTCTGAAGCATCCGAGGTCCCAGAAGCAGAGCATGAACCAGAAACTGGTTAGACTTGACTGACAGCTGCAGGGGGTGGGGGGCGGAGGGGGGAGCAAGAATGTGTGGGTATGTGAATGTATATGAGTGTGTGGATTTGTGAATGTGTGTGTGCGTGTGTGCAAGTGTGTATGTGAATGTGTGTGAGTGTGTATGAGAGAATAATGTGACTGTGTGTGAGTGTGTGTATAATATGGAAGCCAGCATTGAGAACGTAAAGATGAGACCCAGAGGGTCCTCAATCCTGGGACTAGCACGTGGCCTGTAGAACATCTTACCCGAAAAGCAAGAATTTATCTTTATGTCATGCAATGCCATTTGACATGCAAACAACAAAGCATCTTACACTCATGCAGATGAGTCACCAGAATTAGAAAGTTCTTATTCTGCACTCATTCAAGCTCAGGTAGTTTCTTCGCATTCTCAGCTTTTCATTTCACTTCTTTATAAAAATGTCTTATCCAGGTGTGGTGGTGCACACCTTTAATCTCAGAACTGGAGAGGCAGAGGCAGGCAGATTCCTATAGGTTCCAGACCAGCCTGGTCTACATACTGAGTTTAAGAACAGCTGGGGCTACATAGAGTTATCTTTCCTCAAGACAAACATGTTTTAATTGTACACTATGATAATTTACTGTATGTGTAAATGTGTAATAATCAATTCTTTAATCTTTAAAATAATTCTTCTTTAGCATGACTGGTTCGTTGAATACTCACACTTGCTTTTATTTGCGTGTGTGTGTGTGTGTGTGTGTGTGTGTGTGTGTGTGTGTGTGTACATACGTGTGCATGCACGCCCTGGCTTGTGGAGGTCAGAGGACAACTTTCTGGAGTCTGATTGTGAACAAAAGTCCCTGGAGGAACTTCCCTTATGCTGGCTAAAGATTGGCCCAGATAATGTGGTTCTGAACATTCAAAGTTTTCTACGGTCACTGTAGTTCTCATCAGTTCATCAGCCTTGCAGAAGATTCAGTTCTTTCCAGGACTTTTCTGACGCCCACTCTGCTGTTTGTATGGATATCCACTGAGCTAAATGTGTTCAGTCAGCTTTGCTTCAGACACCTCTGTCCTATTCATAAGTATATATACATACATTACATATACATGAATCCTTATCTATCTCTACACCTCATCCAGCTGTTGTGAGTCTGGCAGCTTTGGGAAAGTGCTGTCTTTCTGCCTGCACACTCACCAGTGCAATGGTGTCTTAGGTTAGCCACTGTTCTATTGCTATGAAAAGACACCATGACCAAGGCAATGATTATAAATGTTTATTTTAACTTCAAGTATGTGTCATAAACCTCAAACTAGTATTTTTATTTTGGTGTAAAGATTGAGTTTCAGTCTTTTTGGATCTAGGCTTCCAACCATATAGACTGCAAAGAATTAATAGCACAAGGGACGGGTTAACTTCAGAATAGGAATGGGTGAGAGTAGGGTTTGCAAGAATTTTTATCTTGTTTTTGGATGATATTTTTATCTATTATATATTAAGACATTCTTGCTGCTGCACTGCAGAGACAGATGTGAGATGCTCTTTTTTTTTTTCAAGAAGAAAATGTTTATTGTGGTTTTTAGCTGGAGAGGACACTTCTATCACTGCCACCTGAGGAGTAGGTCAGAGGGACACAGTGCATCTGAAGTCAGGAAGCAAAGTATAAACAGGAAGTGAGCTGGGCTACAAAACCTGAAGGGAATGGTGGAGAAATGGCTTCTTTTTTTTTTTTTTTTTAATTATAAGCTGTTTGGCCAATGGCTCAGACATCTTATTGACTAGCTTTCTCTTTTTTTTATTTTATTCTTTTATTAGTTCAAATTAGGAACAAGCTTGCTTCACATGTCAATCCCTTCTCCCTCTCCCTCACCCTCCCCTCCCCCCCAACATCCCACCTGCCCCTAGCCATCCCCCCTCCATTCCCCAGGCAGGGTAAGGCCCTCAAAAGGGGCTCCCTAAAGTCTACCACAGTGAGATTAAATTACTCTCTCGTTTGAGAGCTGTCTTTCTATTCAACTCAAAGCCCTATCCAAACTGGAGAGGGAGAACAAGAGAGAACATTTGTCTTCTCTGTCTCTCACACCTTCCCCTGCAGTCCTTTGCCTTTTAAAGCAGGTCCCTTTCACTACCATATTGTCCACTACAAGCATCTGTCCCTGGGCTGGTGGTGAGCTCTGAAGTGTTCTTCACAATTTGACTTCATTTTTTTTCCACCCTATGATTTTTCTAGTGGGTTTTCAGGATTTTTGTAATCTTAAAACTGTTCAAGCTCCACTTCCTAAGTTTTAATAACTTTAATAAAATGTTTCAATTGAAGGTACTGGTGCTGAAGAGATGGCTCAGCATTTAAGAGCATTTGCTGCTCTGCCAGAGGACCTGGGCTTGGTTCTTAGCACCCACACAGCAGCTCGAAATTGTCCAGAACTCCAATTCCAGGGCTTTCAACACCCCCTTCTAGCCTCCAGTTCATTTACAGATATGTAGGCAAAATACTAACATGCAAAAACATTTTAAATAAATCTTTTAAAATAGAAAAGTTTAAAGTGAAGGTAATTCTTGTAGACTTACCACTCAAAGGACTCTTGACAACATCTCCTGGTTTTGATGCCTGGCTCTGTCTACTGATCTGTTTCCTGGCTCTTTCGCCTTCACCCTGTATTATCTGTGCAGTGATTTCATGAAAGAAGTGATGCATTTCCCCAGCCCCCATACCACATATGAATGTCAGGTGCTATTGCAATGGAAGTGCTTAGTGTTGGCTTTCTAAACACAGAAAACCCCATGAGTCCAAAGGTGAAATAGCCATCTCAAAACCTTCCAAGTTTATTCTCTCACTGTCTCAATGCTCTTCTATTGGTCACAATTTATAGTGTTTTTATTAACTGAGCAATTTGCAGTTAGACACGTCACCCACAAAACTCCTGGGTTTGTCCCTTTTCTATGTACTGCTCTAATACAATTTAAGTATTATAGCTCCTGTTGAAAGAGTACTGAAGTATTAACTCAGAAGATAGTATTATGATATGATTGTGTATGTATATATGTATGATATACATCCATATGTATAATATGGGTGCAAAGTATGTGTCTTAGAATTGGGATCATATTTAGGGGCTCTGGGCTGAGAAGATACGTAAGCAGTCTGCGTGTCTAAAGCCTTCTAGGCTGGATATGTGTGTGAAGGGTGTCTTGTATCATGTAAAGGAGATGCTTTACAGCCTAACCCCTTGACAGTGAAATAGCTGGGACTCTCTCCTGATCCTCCGTACCCAACCTGCACGGCCGTCCTTGCCACTGTGGACTCCTAGTACATCCTCTGGGATAGTTTAGGGAGATGTTAAGAGGATTGTCAGGCATTAGATCTGATACCACAATAATGGGATTTAAAAACATTGAACGATTAACCAACCAGGATGGCATGTGCACGTGTCGACTGTTATCCTGGTTGCTGTCTTGTGGGGAGGGTATATGTGCGTGTACTGCATGCGCATGAGGGGTGCGCCTGTGCCTGGGCTCGTGTGAAAGGGGAAGGACTTCCGGCATCTTCCTCTAGTTCTCTCTTCCTCATTGCCTCAAGTCCAGGTCTGTTGTGGGACCAGAAGCTCACATTTGAGCTAGACTGACTGTCCCAGGAGCTCTTGGAACCTGCCTGCCTCAGCTCTTCAATGGCAGGCTTACAAGGACATACAATCATGCCCAGGTTTATATATGAGTGCTAGGGATTCAAACCCAGCTCCGCAGGCTCACAGAGCAAACATTCTTTCCCACTGAGGCTACCATTCCAGCCCTTCAATATCCTTTTGTGCATTTAAAATTTTTATTTTATGAATTGTACTCTATTTTAGGCCATCCCTAAAAAAATAAATAAATCTGTTTTCAATTAGATATATCTTTAATTTAAAGTAAGTTTTAAAGTTTTCTTTGTGCCAAAACTTTCATATGGAATAACATTTTAAAATTCAATCACTAACGTAGATTTCTTTCTTAAGTCCCTGAACCTCCTGAGGAAACTGCAGTTGAAGCAGAAATCCAAAAGGAATACAAAGAGGTCCCGGAATCTGAAGAAGTAACCGAAACAGGTTAGAAGAGAAAATAAAAGTTCCCATTCATAAAAGTATTTTTCTACCAGATCAAACGTTAATTTGTGTCAGTCTCTGCTTGCTTCTTCCTATGTTGTATACTAGTTGTCTTAGGGTTTCTGTTGCTGTGAAGAGACACCATGACCAGGGGAAATACTTACAAAGGAAAACATTTAATTGGGGTGGCTTAAAGTTTCCGAGGCTTAGTCCATTGTCATCATGGTGGAACATGACAGCATGCAGGCAGAAATGGTGCTGGAAAAGACTGAGAGTCCTACATCTTCATTCATAGGCAACAGGAAGTGAACTGTCTACCACACTAGGCATTGCTTGAGAAAAGGAGATCTCAAAGCCCATCCCCACAGTGACACACTTCCTCTTTTAAGGCCCCATCTACTCCAAAGAAGCACACCTCCCAACAGTGCCACTCCCTATGGGAGCCATTTTCTTTCAAACTATCACATTCTACTTCCTGGCCCCCAAAACCTTGTAGTCATGTCATAATGCAAAAATGCATTTAGTCCAACTTCAAAGGTTTCCATAGTCTATTACATCTCAAACTTATTTAAAAGTCTAAAGTTCAAAGTCTCTTCTGAGATTCATACAATCTCTTGACTGTAATCCCTGTAAAAGTCAAAAAGCAGATCACATACTTCCAACATACAATGGCACAGGATATATGTTACTATTCCAAAATGTATGGAAGGGATCATAGCAAGGAAATATTGGACCAAAGCAAGACTGAAAACCAGTTGGGCAAATTCCAAATTCTGCAATTCCATGTTGGATGTCAAAATGCTCTTCAGATCTCCAACTTTGTTCAGCTTTGTTGACTAAAACACACTTCTTTCTCTTGGGCTGGCTTCACTCCTTGTTAGCAGCTCTCCTTGGCAGGTATCCCAGGGGCTCTGATATCTGTAACATCTTGGGATCTCCAAGGCAATCTAGGCTTCATCTTCACAGTTTCACACATGGCCTTTCTAAGCCTCTATCTAGAGACATCCTTGACATAAGCCTGGCCACAGTGGCTTTCCTAAGTCAAAGAGAAAGATTCCATAACCACTTTCTTGTAGCCTTGACTAAAGCCAGAACCATGTGGCGTAAGCTATCAAGTTCTGCTGCTTGCTGGGGCTGGAACATAGTCCCCTTGTTCAATTATATTTTTACTAGCTTTCTGTTTTCCATGACTTCCTTCACTGCCTAAGCTTGGGTGTCCTGGAATTTACTCTCTAGAGCAGAATGTCCTCAAACTCAGAGATCTGCCTGTGTCTGCCTCCAAAGTGCTGGGATTAAAGGTGTGTGATACCAAATCCAGCTCTGAGCTTTTCTTTAATCCCTTTTCACAGATTGGGAGCTTAGTTGGATGAGATCTTGCCGTGAAGTCACCACTCCTTTTTTTCCATTTCTTAATCTGTTTATCTCCTTGAACAAACAAGACTTAGCTCCATTCAACTTTCTGGTGCTCCTTTTCTCCTCAAATTTAACATTTTGTATTTTTCCTTGTTCAGCGTGTACCTTTTCATTATTAATCTTCTTTAGAGTTAACACTAATAGCCACACAAAAGAGTCAGTACAGGCTGTTTTGAGATTTCCTCTGCCAATGGAACTAATCCAAATCTCTTCACTTTAGCCTTAGGTAGATTCTTTAGACAAGGACAAAAAGCAGCCACATTCTTCACCAAATTATCACAAGAACAATCTCTAGATTACATAATTAATATTCTTCTCTTCTTGAGTTGGGCCCCTACAGTTCAAATCACACTCTGTACCACTGTCTTCCCTGCTTCTACTAGTATGGCCATTAAGCACTGCCTTCCTAACCCAAACTCCCAAAGTCCAAATTAATCCAAATAAAAACACGGTTTGGCCTATCACAGCAACACCCCAGTCCCTAGTACCAACTTCTGTCTTAGTTATGCTTTCTAGGTGTGAAGAGACTCCATGAACATGGCAACTCTTATGAAGAAAACATTTAATTGAGGTTGGCTTACAGTTTCAGAGGTTCAGTCTATTATCATCATTGCAAGACATGGCAGCATTTAGGCAGACATAGTGCAAGAGAAGAAGCTGAGGGTTCTACATCTTGATCTGTAGGCAACAGGAAGAGATCTGTCTATCACACTGAGCATAGCTTGAGCAATAGAGACCTCAAAGCAGACCACTACAGTGACATACTTCCTCCTACAAGGCCACATCTACTTCAACAAAAGCATACCTCCTAATAGTACCACTCCTTATGGTGGCTATTTTTCTTTCAAACTACCACACCAGTCAATATGAATTATATTTATTCATGTCATTCCATTAAAGTATAACTATTCAATTCATAGTGCTTTTTCATCTTATTTTACACTTTATGTTAACAGCTAGTTTCCATATGAAACTCACTCATCACTCACATAATTTCAATTCTATAATAGGTAATTATTCATGTAATAGCATATAAAATATTTTATATGATTAGAATTTGCATTTATAGGTTATTGGTGGCACACGCCTTTAATACCAGCACTCGGGAGGCAGAGGCAGGCGGATCTCTGTGAGTTCAAGGCCAGCCTGGTCTCCAGAGCAAGTGCCAGGATAGCCTCCAAAGCTACACAGAGAAACCCTGTCTCAAAAAACAAAAACAAAAACAAACAAACAAAAAGAAAGCTCTCACTTGGGCTGGAGAGATGGCTCAGAGGTTAAGAGCACTGGCTGCTCTTCCAGAGGCCCTGAGTTCAATTCCCCGCAACCACATGGTGGCTCAGAACCATCTATAATGAGATCTGGTGCCCTCTTTTGGTGTGTAGATATCCATGGAAGCAGAATGCTGTATACATAATAAATAAATAAAATCTTTTAAAAGAAGAATTTGCATTTATAAATTTACATCAATGTTCAGAATGCTACGTTTTCATCTTTGAATATTTAAAACACATGATAAAGTATAGATTCTTTTGTAGTCTGACTAGAGATAGGCTTTTCATAGCCTCTCTTTTTCTCTTTTTGGATTTGTTTTTGAAAGTTACACTGCCGGAGTTCCCAGAGGATGCTTACCCCAATGTTCCTGAGATGGAGCCACTGAAAGAAGAGCTGAATAATTACAGCCTCATGTGGAAGAATCTGGAGCAGATGATTGCTGACAACTTGATTCAAATATTAACATTGGATATTTCCAACAAAACACCAAAGGAATTGCTTCAAAAAGTAGTTGAGACGATGAAAAGTAAGGCAAAAATGATAGCTTTGTTGGTAAAGAGCAGAAACTAGCACTGAAAACATTTTAGACCTTGAAAGTCTACTCTGATGGCTTCTCAAGTAAAACATTGAGGGCATCTGAAGATAATATGTATGACATTCTAAAACTATCATAAATAATGTAGGCTCTGGCCAACCAGAGCTGACACAGAGCACACCGTCACTAGTCATGATGAGTGGCTCTCACAAAGAGAACTTGTACACATATGAAAACTGAGAGATCAATAATAATTGTTAATTTCTCTAACCTTTGGCTATTATACTCCACTGATAACTTTTTGTTCTAAAAACTCTTTTCCTTTTTAAAAACAACAGAACCTTTTCAGTATACTGCATGGGAACTAGTTGCTGAAGATTATGATGAAGAAGCAGAAGACTTTCAGGCCGAGACAGAAGTGGACGAGGAGCAGGAGGAAGAGGAGGAGGAGGAGGAGGAGGTATGGCTGCCTTTACCCTCCTCAGTCTCATGGCAATCACTGAGAAGTGTGTGTGTCCAGAGCAGTAATTATCACTCTGAACCCCCTGCCAGGAGAACAAATAGGCATCTCCAATTTCCTTACTCTCTGTATATTTTATTTTTGCAGTATCAGGGCCTTATACATGCCAGACAAGTTCTCAGCCACTGAGCGGGATCCCCACCCCATCCTCAACTTTATAAATGAAAAGTTTCTCCTTTGCCATATTTTCACTTCACTGTCCAAAATGCCAAAAAATGTGAAAAAAGACACACATGAAAGCATAAAAAGAAAATATGTTTACTGTTTTCTTGTACAGAAAAAAAATATGCGAGTATCAAGACTATAAATATTTCATAAAGTTAATATAAGCAGCTATGTGAAAGATGCCTTTGGAGTATCTGGAAGGCTGTCCATGTTATGATAATGTACAATGCTCAACAGGACCAACCCATATTCAGACACCAAAACATCATTGGCAACAGAATGATAATAACCATTATCATTTGATAATCCCCAGATTAGGTATATATCAACAATAAAGCAGGAAATTGTTCTTCCAATATGTTTTTACAAATAAAAATATAATTTACTAAGTTAAATATGCTAAACAAACATGCACAAATAACTAACTTATTTGTAACATGAATATTAAAAACCCCAGAGACAGACAATGAGGTTCAAGCTGACGATCAGAAAAGCAAAGCAGCCAGCCAGTAGCTCTTACCTCTGCCTCAGACTGAAATGGGTGATCCTGTCTCCACATGTCCTCAGAGTGCAATGCAGACCGCACTGCCTTCTACCGAGCCTCAGACTGCAATCCTGAATTCCTGTCTCCTCCTGCCTTATATTCCTCTCTCTACCCAGCCATATCACTCCTGTCTCCACCTCCCTACTGCTGGAATTAAAGTCATGTTATCCCAAGTGCTGAGATCACATTTGTGTGAGCTGTTTCTCTTTTAGACTGGATCGATTTCATGTAGTCAGTGTGGCCTTGAACTAACAGAGATCCATCTGCCTCTGTCTCCCACGTCCTGAGATTAAAGCTGTGTGCCACCACTACCAGCCCTCTATGTCTAGCTAGTATGGCTGCTGGGATTAAAGGTGTGTATCACCATTGCCTGGCTCTATGACTGTGGTTAGCTTTGCATTTTGATCTCTGGTGACTTTTTTAAATCATAAACAATATATCATCACACTTATTATTGCCTAATTTAAACCCAAAGATGTAGCAGTATGTGGGTGTATTGTAACTAATGATTTACAGTGGATTCTGTCAACACCTCCCAGTACTTTGTCACCAAGGAACTGATGTTAGCATAGCTTAAGGATTTGCCTTGCTTGTAGTCAGTCTCTTTTCATCTAACTTTTCCTGTAGTGTTTTCTGATATTCTTCTGTGCGCCCTTTGGTCTTCAATGGAGTAGCCCTTCCTTGTGTCTCTGCAGGCAATCCTCAGGCTTCCTGTAATATTAAAAACTTGTATTTTTATATCTGATCTTCTTTAACAATCCAGTATAAAATCTCGCCAGTCACGGAACACTGGGTAAGTGGTAAGCAAGGACCAGCCTTCAGAGATGGGAAATAATTAGACCTAAAATAAATGTGCTTTTTCTCCAACCACCGTAATAGCAAGAGCCAAAAATGGGAAACTACTTCCAGGCAACTCAACTATGTCCAAGAACAATCTCCATCAAAGTGTTGATGGTATTACAGCATAAACTTTGGTATCCACTCAAGGAAAGCCAGATCTGCTAAGAAAGTATGATTCATGATGAAAAGAAAAAAAAAATCACCAACTCAAACTACCCTAGAACTGAAAAATACATCAGCATTGGCTGACAAGGACATTGAAATGGCTGTTCTTGCTGTGTGCTATAAATTCAAAACAGGAAGTAGAAATAAAAGAAGATGAGTTAAGTCTAGCAACCCTACATTAAGTATTCTTAGTTTTGTTTTGTTTTGTTTATGTGTAGCTCTGGCTAGCCTGGAACTCATATGTGGATCAGGCTGGCCTTGAACTCACAAAGATCTACCTGTGAGTCTTGGTACTAAAGGTCAGCCCCACCACACCCACCCAATTAGTCTCAGTTTTGATGCAGTACAGAAAAATGTTGTGGTTTCTTCTTTTGTGAACATAAGCATGCTGCAGAAAAATTTACAAAATATTCCATTTCTAGTTTCAAAACTGCTGCATTGGTGCTTAAATCTATGTCTAGCTTTTATGCATGCAGAGCTGTTTAGCAGCATCTGAGGGGGGGCTCATGGGAACTGCTAAGAATGTCTGCACACTGGTGGAAGGAAAATGAAAGGGAGCATTCACTCCTGATACAATGATGTGTTTAAACATTTGATGGCGAGTAAGTGTTTAACGTCTTCCTGTTGCTTTCACTAATCCCCCAAAAGTCCTTTGCACATTTTATCACAGTATAAATTTGCATTTGTACTTAATTAAATATTTTCAAGTTTTTCCTCTGAATAAATCAAAGCAGATGGCCGACTTCATTATCGTGTGTAAGAGAATGTGAGCCTGACTCAGGCTCTGCTCCCTATCAGAAGCTGACCTCACTTCACCTCTCTGCATCCAGAGGGTGGAGCGCACCTTCATTCTCAGTCTACTTTAGTTTTTATGAAAATGAAAAATGTAGGAACTAAATTTAGAGGAACATGAGCAACTTGTTTTTAATCTATTAAATAACAACATAAGGATGCTTTGTGGGCTGTTTTAGAGTTGGTGTTCTTGTAGATGATTTACTCCTCAAAATGAATTGCTTCTAAATTCCTCTTTGATACTGCATCAAAATGTCTTTGGTAATCTCTGAACTGAACAATGTTTCTAGGGTGAAGAAAAGATGAGAGAAAAAAAGAGGCACCTGGGAGACACAAAGCACTTCTGCCCAGTAGTTCTCAAAGAAAACTTCATCCTCCAGCCAGGCAACTTGGAAGAGGCTGTGAAGTACCGAGAAAATATATACTACTTTTCAACCCCTGAGGCCAAGGAAAAGTTCTTGGAGCATCCTGAGGAGTATGTGGCCCAGGACGAACCATTAAAGGTAAAAACAATCCTCCCATGCTAGTGATTGCTCCCAAGTTCTCCCATGAGTGTACTTCCAATAAAGTCTCTAATCCTGTTAAAAGCCAACATCAACAACAAAACACAGTGATTACATCTAGATTAAAAAGTAGACAGCTTTTTGCAATATGGCATAAAAACAATGATCTGTTTTGACTTTTTTTTTTCTTGGTTTTTCGAGACAGGGTTTCTCTGTGTAGCTTTGGAGGCTATCCTGGCACTCGCTCTGGAGATCAGGCTGGCCTCGAACTCACAGAGATCTGTCCGCCTCTGCCTCCCGAATGCTGGGATTAAAGGTGTGTGCCACCAACACCCAGCCTGTTTTGACTTTTATAATAATGTCTATGTTAAACCAGCACCTAGCTTGTGTCTTTTTACCTGGTATTCACTCACAAACAGGGCTGGAGTGACAGCTCAGGACTTGAGATTCTTATTGCTCTCTCAGAGGACCCAGGTTCAGTTTCCAGAAGACATAGTATGTGATGTTTACAATCAATGTGTAACATGTGTATATGTAATAGCTTACAATCTGCTTTTTTACTTACAGAAAATGTGCGTATTCCCACATAGAGAGCCTAATGCTCAACCACTTCGATACCTAATTCACCAATAGACATTTTTCATAAAATTAGTTTAGATATTAAATGATAATTAATAGGTAACTTAAGACCATAAAATTTTTGGTTCTCCTGAATTATTTTTACTATAATTCTCTGTAATGGGATAACTAGACCAAAGTGTAATATTACTGTATATTAGTTTTTTTTAATTTTTCCATTTATTTGCTTATTTTTGTTGTGTGTGTGTGTGTGTGTGTGTGTGTGTGTGTGTGTGTGTGTGTGTGTGTGTGTGTGTGTGTGCCTTTAATCCTAGCACTCAGTAGGCAGGGGTCTCTATGTAAGTTTGAGACCAACTTGATCTACATAGTGAACTCCAGGGGAAAAGAAGCCAACCCCTGTCTCAAAAAAAAAAAAAAGAAGGAAGGAAGGAAGGAAGGAAGGAAGGAAGGAAGGAAGGAAGGAAGGAAGGAAAGAAAGAAAGAAAGAAAGAAAGAAAGAAAGAAAGAAAGAAAGAGAGAGAGAAAGAGAGAGAAAGAGAGAAAGGAAGAAAGGAAGGAAGAAGGGAGGGAGGGAGGGAGGAATGAAGGAAGGAGGGAAGAAGGAAGGAAAATGCACTGTGACTTACAGGGTGGTGTGTTTGTGTGCAGACCTTAGCTTGATTCCTGGATCCTATATGGTGACAGGAGAGAAACAACTCCCGGGAGTTGTCTTCTGATCTCCACATGGTAGCTCACAACTGTAACTCCAGTTCCAGGGGTCCATTGCCCTCTTCTGACCTCTGTGGGCACCAGGCACACACAAGGCACATACAGGCAAAACACTCATACACATAAAATAAATTTTAAAGTCAGTTTAAAAAAAAAAGACTTCCTTTCCTTTTCCTCTTTTTTGGTGGTGGAGGGGAGGTTGTTTTGTTTTGTTTTGTTTTATGAGACAAGGTCTCAATATGCAGCTCTGGCCTCAAACTCATGAGTACTGGTATTACAGGGGTGAAAACCACCAGGCTAATTACTGAATGCTTTTCCTCTCCTCTGCTCCACACTCTGTGGCAGGCTCCTCCACTCAGGATATGTCTTCTGGGTCCCCGTGGCTCTGGCAAAACTATATGTGGAAGAAAGTTGGCAGAAAGCTTTGGTGTTTTTCACATTCAATTTGATGAATTTCTGCAAGAAAAAATGATGCTCAAGGCTGAAAGGAAATACGGGCCTGAGTTTGAGGATGATTCCGAAGAGGAGCAAGCAACAAAGCAAGAACTTGAAGAGCTTGCAGTTCAGGCGAACGTGAAGATTGAAGAAGAAAGCATAAAGAAGCAGGTAACCTGGGGATGCCCTTGGGGATGCTGTGTTTGCTGCAGAAGCTGGTTTGTAGCAGGTGGCTCAGGGCAAAGCTCCAGCTCTAGCACAGGCTATACTCGGTCACCATCCCATGTCGCCAACTAGTCATGGTGGAAAGAGAAAGAGGAGATTCAATGTGAACAGATAGAGGGGTCCAGTGACCCCAAGTTCATCTTTGGGGTTCTGACGACCCACGTGATTTAAGCAATCCTGGTCAAAGTGTAGGCTGTTGATGGTTGTCTCAGCTCTGTTTCTGCAAGATGGTTCCAAGAGTCCTTGTTTGAGGAGAGACAGGAGGATGCAGTGTGAATAGCAGCTTCATCTGGTGGTGGTCTGTTCCTGGAATCCAAGGTGACTACAGATTTAGGATAATGACCTTAAGGAACCTCTGGGGAATCCAGAACAGGAAAATGTAAAGAGCTGAAAATAAGATGCTGCCTTGAAGGGGAGTGAAGTGAGCTAACATATCACAGTTCCAGGTAGATCCTCCCTGAGTGAGGGGCATGCCCATATGTACAGGTGAGTGGTAAAAATGACCCTGCACACCAGGCTCAGTCCTTCTCATTAGCCTGTAAGCCCAAGTGAGAAGTTGACTCCTTCTTAAAAGTCACCCTCTCCAGTGTGACATATAAACCCACTTCTCATCTACCATCTCAAACACTGTCTTATGTCCTGACACAAGTCAGGAAAGTGAATCCCACACTGAGGGGTTGTGTAGCGTTTATTTGGAACATTTTGTCTGGTGAGTCTGAACTACAACATAAGGTTTCCTGCTGTTGTGCTTCCCCCCCCTGTCAAATTGTATTTTTTAAGATTTTAAAATATTAATCTTACCAGGCGTTGGTGGCGCACGCCTTTAATCCCAGCACTCGGGAAGCAGAGTGCTGGGAGTGCTGGGAGTGCTGGGAGTGTGGACTCCTCTTATTTTGTAACTTTTGCCTTTAGCTTCCAGATGTGCAACTCACAGAAGAGGAAGAAGCAATCAAGCTGAGTCTAATGGAGAACGAGGCCCTGCCTTCAGAAATTCTAGACTCCATACTTTCCGAGTGGTGGCTTAAAGAACCAATACGGTACCTACATACACAGGGGTTATGTTTCTTATTGGTTTTATTTCCTTTGCTCTTAATGGTAAAACTACAGTCCAGTTTATACCTAAAAATTTGCTCTTATTCATCCATATAAACTGCACATTAAAACATCTGTGGAGTTTTTGCCAGAGACCCATCCCAAAAACTATTAAATCAGAATCTGCAGAAGTTTGAGTCCAGAATCCATGTCCTCAGGTGATTCTAGGCCTGTAGTTGAGAATGATTTTCTCAGCCCACATGCCTCCCTGGTGTGCTGGACTTCCACCACCGCCAACCCCAGTAACTTTGTAATGATTACAGCTATGAGCACTGGGTAGCCGTCCACTCTTAGCCCGTCAGCAAATGCCTGCAGCAGTGCTGACCCACACAGAACAAACCTTCAGGTCCCTGGAATTGAAAACCTTCCTCATTTTTCTAACTGGGATCTTCTGCCTTGATATCCACCAAATGATATTTACAATATTGATAATAGCACAAACACATTTGCAACTTGCTACATACCAAGTACTAGTCAACTTCATTTTATTCAAATTGGCTTACTTAATCTGTATATGAAAATTAATGATGTCACAGTAATTTCTCTTAGCTGTGTTAGATACTTTTAGTATTTAATCATATTAAAACTTAGTGCATAGATGGGATAGAAATTGGCAAGATAAGTTTGAAAAAAAGGAAACTGAAATACAGAGAAGTTAGATAAATATTTTCATGCTCCTCTGGGCACAGTTGTATCTATTGCCTGTCTGAAATGAGGGCATGGAATTTAGTCATCAAGTTTTTAAAAATGTTCTCATTCCCTAAATTAGATCAGTAGCTGTGGGAAACTTGGGCAAATGACTCTGAGCTTTAGAGTCACGAGTTGTTCTTCATGGAGTTAGCGTTTCGTATAACACCACACATTAAGATATCTATATAAAAAATAGGAAGAGATACAAAGGCAAAGTAACACTTTTAAATTAAAAAGTAAAGATGTCTGGAGCAGCGGCTCAACAATTAAGATCACCAGGACCCAGGTTCGGTTCTCAGTGCCTACAAAGCAGTTCACAATCATCTGTAGCTCCAGTTCCAGGGAATCTGATGCCCTCTGACTGGCCTTTGTGGACACCAGCCACATCTGTAGTGCATATACATACATGCAGATACAATGTTCACACACAGAAAATAAAAATAAATAAATCTTTTTATATCTCCAGGTGTTGGTGGTGCACGCCTTTAATCCCAGCACTCGGGAGGCAGAGGCAGGCAGATCTCTGTGAGTTTGAGGCCAGCCTGGTCTCCAGAGTGAGTGCCAGGATAGGCTCCAAAGCTACACAGAGAAACCCTGTCTCAAAAAAAAATCTTTTTATATCTTAAAATAAGAAGTATAAACATATGTAGATATTTCTACAGAACTATAAACACAGGAATTCAATTTAATATAAAAAGTTACATTGTAAAATCTAAATATTGAGTATTATGCAACCAGCACAATTTATTATCATAAAGATTTACAATGGCATGTAATATTATTATATGTTAATAAACTTTAAAAGACGTAGAAATATATGATAACATGGTAGGGAGATGGGCACATGAAGAACTGACTAGAAGGAAATACGACAAAAGGTAATAATATGTAGGCCATAGGATGATGAGTCATTTGCTGTTTTGTGTTTTTTTCTCCTCTGCTTTCCAATTTTTCTATTGTGAAATGCATTCCTTTTACAAGTGAGGGAAAAGGTTGACTTTTTTTTCAAGTTTTAATCCTGGAGAGTTACTGAGGGCTAAGCTGAGGATGGCAGAAATGAAACTGGGAAGATTCCAAGCCTTGTCTCATCAGAGATATCAGGAGGGAAGCAGAGAAGAACCTCAGTGTTCCTTGTATGTCTGGCAGCAAGGACTGCTGGATCCAGTCAGGAGTGGGCTGGGCACTGGGGGCCATCACGATTGTTAACAGTATAACACATAGATCATTCCTGAAGGGCTTCATTGAAAAAGTGAAGTGGGGCTTTGAAATTTCTGAATTAAAATTCAGATGTTTGAATGTAGAGGTAAGGATGTAGAGTTGAGGACGTGGAAGTTCTTGTCAAACAAGTGGCACCAGGACACCAGGAAGAAATGTATTCCTCCCAGAAGAGACTACATGGCAGGCCTTGCTGAAGAGACACCCAGTATGGCTATTAAGGGAAAACTGCCTAGGTGTTAAAAGAGAATTAACATTTGAGAATTAACCTTGGAAGACTGAAACAGTCAGATGTTTATAAAAGCCTCATCTTATTGGGAAGAAAACATACATGTATGTGTAAACATATTAAACATTTTTTGGATAAATATGATCAACAAGCTTACCCAAAGTAAGATTATACTAACCCCTCAACAAGATCGCCAAGCCAAGCCATCAAAGGAAGGCCACTTTATAAGTACTTTATGGAAGTGGGCTGGCCTTCCGGTTATTCTCACATCCCTAAAAGTTCTGTCACCTGAGGCAGAACTTGCACATGAGTAGTTGCTATTGCTTACCAGGGGACCCTGGTGGGGTGTGTGAACCGCCTCATGGCAGAAAGGGTCCTGCAGCCCACTCAGGCAGCTCTTTGAAGGCAACATCTTCCTGAGGCTAGGCCCTTCTCCTAAGCACAGGGCTCACTTACTCATTTCCCAGTTAATAATTATCGCCAGCTAACTGCAATTTTATATTACAAGTACAAATATTAGTTTAACCCAATTTTATACATCTTGAGGGAAAATATCATTTACACACTCCCTTCTTGAACTCTGGGCTTACTCCAGATGGGATAGTAATCATGTGTAGGAATTCCAGTGTAGGAATAGTGAAAAATTTGGCAACAGTAAAAGATTTTTTTTTTAAATACACAAAACCCAAGAGTTAAGCCAGAAATAAAAGACATAATGAATGTGAGGTATTTGGGGCGATGCCCGTCAGTGTGGCATCTTATGACTTCCCCTCAGCCTTGGTTCTGAATAAACAGCAGGCACACTTTGCAGTCTGTGTGCCTTCACACCACACAAGCCCAATGAGTGGAGTCATACTGAATGCCACAAACTCCAGGAGTCTTGCTGCATTCACAGTTTTCTGCTCTTGCAGAAACATGATAGTTTAACAGAAAGCGAATACATCCTAGTCTCCTACTGTCTTTCTTCAGCATGACAATATCGGATTGGCATATCTTTGGATTGCATCCTTAGAACATTCGATTTTAAAATGTGCTGTTTGAGTTGATGAGCTGACTTTCATGAAAGATCATTAGATGACTTCTGACTGGAATTGGGACAGAGTTTCCAGTAATTACCGATGTGGTCCTAGGCATACTGCCAGCATTTTGCATTACATCTCTATATACGATGGCATCCTCAACACTGACAACTGTATTTATAAGACACATTGAAGATGCTGTATGTCCTACAATGTCAAATACTTGACCAAGATTTAATTTTTGTTTGCTTTTTTTGTGTGTGTGGGTCTTTTGTTGGTTGAGACGGGATCTCCCTGTGCAGCTCTAGCTTACCTGGAACTGGCTTTGTAGACCAGGCTGCTACTTTGTAAACCAGGCTGGCCTTGAACTCACAGAGATCCACTTACCTCTTTATATAAAAATAAGCAAGCACATAAATCTTTAACAAATGGTAAAATTGCATATATGCCCAAGAATTGTTTTAAAACAAATTTATTACCACTAAATGTTTGATTTGTATAGCTATTTCACATACTTGTACTTCCAGGCCACCTAAAAATTTCCCAAAACCTGACATGGTAGTACACACCTTTAATCTCTGCACTCAGGAGACAGAGGCAGGCAAACTTTGTGAATTTGAGGCCACCCTGGTCTACATAGCAGGTTCCAGGCCAGCCAGGGTTACATAAGGAGAACTTGTCTCAAGAAAAAAAAAAAATTCTCAGACGAAAAAAGGGGCTGGCAAGTGGAAGATTTAAGAAGCATCAATATATGCAACTAGAAATAGTTTTTAAAATAAAAATTCTTAAAACTACTTATTACACATCTGATAAAGTTGAGATTCATCAACACAGGTTAAAATCTTTAATACATGCAGGGATAATATGTGGAGGACCCCTGGGGGCTTTACGGTAGACAGGGAAAAACGGTCTGCGAAGAGACAAAAATGAAACTTGGTTCGGCCAGATTTTGGTAACCAGTGCTGAGCCAAGACTTCTTGGAGTCTGACATCCACTCATTTGTTTTTTGCCATATTTAAGCATAGCACGATTTAAGGGAGAAGTTTTCAGATAACAATGAACTCAGCTCTGTGAGTACAAAAAGCTTAAGACACATTTACAAAGTACATACAAGCTCATTCCCTGGGATGAGTTCTGCTGACTGACAAATGATGCTCACGATAAGGGAGAGTGACTGGACCAAACATAATGCCTGGCCCTACGATGATAGCACAGAAGTCACTTAGGCTCTAGTGCAAATGCCGTCTCTCACAAGGATGGGTCCTATGACACAGAAATAATGATCATGGCTTTAGGGGGAAGGGTCTGGGGGAAGTGAAACATAAATTCTAGAAGATATGGGCTAGCCTGGCTCCTCAGACAGCGAAGGATCACCAGGTTGTGAACTACACCTGTTCCCTGCATTCCTGGTGGAACAGGACAAACATCTCTTTCCTTTGGAGTTAAACATCTGCACGTTTAACTTTCCTGGCTTCTCCGGTGCTTGGTTGTGTGCCCTAGCACTTTTTGCCCTTTCTATCAATATATAGTATAAATCGATCTATAATACCATGTTTTTATGTTTGAGTTTTTAAGTTATCATACAAAGTAAAATAATGAATTAATTATGAATTTTCATACATGCATATAACCAACTGTTTGTTGCTCATAGTGCCACCCCATTACCCTCTCTGTTAACCCTCTCCACTCCCACTGTTTCCTTTCTTCTCACAAAACAGTTGCTCTGGTTTCATGTCGTAGCTTTAGTGTAGGCATTGGTGGCCAGGTAGATGATAGAAAGATAACCCTGAATATGAGAGATGCAGGGGGGTATCTGTCTTTTGAGTGTGGCTTAGCTGAAATATCTATGCTGTTTTAAGCAAATTATGAAAATTTCCACCCAGATCTACTGGCTTCATACTGGACGGTTTCCCGAGGTACCCTGACGAGGCCCAGTTTCTAGGAGAGCGGGGCTTTTTCCCAGATGCTGTCGTTATAATACAAGTAGAAGATCAAGATATCTTTGATCGCCTCCTTCCTGCACAAATTCAGAAGTGGAAACTCAAACAGCACAAGAAATCAGAAAGGAAAAAGCTCATCAAAGACTTGAAGACAAAAATCAGGGTATGTATCCAGTCCAGACACAGGTGAATAAGGCCGTTTATCGCCTGTTTGGGTTAATCGTCTTCAGTCTTCACAAGAGTGGGGTTTCTGGGTTTTGATGCCACCATAACGATGAAAATATTTTCTATCAAATATGTCATCCTTTGATAAGAATTTTAAATTATTTAAAGCTTTTTTGTTTTTTGATACGGGGTCTCCCTATGTGATCCTGGCTGTCTGGAAACTCCCTATGTAGACCAGGCTGCCCTTGAACTCAGAGACCATCTGTCTCGGCCTCCCGAGTACCATGCTTAGTTGAAGCTTTTCTGACCATCAACATGTGAATGCTTCTCTTTCCAAATCCGTGGTGTCCAGTCCTCCCTCTGACAGGCACAACGGAGGCAGCTAGGGCTGTGAGAGAGCCAGAGCTGGAACACAGAGGATCTTGGCAGCTGGTACCCAAGCGCTCACCCACCTCTATACTGATTCTGTACCTCTATACTGATTCAGGGATCTTTGGGTTCACACCATCGTTCTTGTGCTGACCCACCAGTGGCTTGCCTGGATTGGTCTCTGTACTCTCCAGCTACTCATAAGCCATACCGTTGAGGTCTGAACACCCAGTCCTGCTCCAAACCCATTTCCTAACTATATATATTTGGCTGCAGTAAATGGAAGCCCTTTGCTGCAGCAGCCACACCATCTGCTTCCAGGATTCCTCCTCAGGGAGTGTCACACCTGGGTGACCCCACACAGACCTCTCTGGATTCCTATTAACTCACCCTTAAGTAGGTGGCACTGCCTGCCTGACTTGATATATGGTATTTTGAGAAGAAAGTGAAAGAACACATAATGTCCAAGGCAGGGTGGTGCCCATCTCTACCAGACACACTGTAATTAAACTTCAGGGAGTCCTGAGGCAACCAGCACCAAAACCCCGAGGACGTGTGAACAGATCACTGTGTTAGGTTGGAGAACCCTGAAAATAGGGCATGGCCATTCACCCTCCCTCTGGTCGTCTCCAACATGCTTGTGCTTTCCTCACAGGTACGGCTGTGCTTTTAAAAACATGTCCTCACCATAATCAAAAGAGATGTCTGTGAAATCCTGTGCCCCCCATCCCACACAAGCAAAAGTACAATTTACCTGAAAATGGAGCTCTAGAATAGGGTGACTGAGGCCCTAGAGCAGCTTTTCCCTTGGGAGGGAGACAAGCCAGAAGGACATGAATGTGCTTCAGCCATCGCCATCACTTGTGTTCTTGGAGCGACTGCTACCCTTCCACCACATGTTAGCCCCCGGCTTAAAAAGGTATATTGATACACAGCAAGCAATTTCATTGTTTTTCTATTGTAAACTTGTAAATGCTTCTTCAACAGGAGGATATGATTGCTAAAAGAAGAGCTGAACTTATTTCAGAGAGAGACAGAAAAAGGAGAGAGGAAGTAAGTAGATGGTTTTTGAAGCATAACATTATGATCGCAAGAGCTGAAAAAACAAAAGGATGCATTTAGAAAGTCCACAAGAACTAATAAAGAGTTTACAGGGGATTAGTGAAATGACACGTAATTTTACTTCTTTTACTTTTGTCATGGTATATGCTACTATTTTAAATGACCTTTTTAATATTTATAATCAGAAAAGAAATTTTGTTTCATTTTGTTTTATTTTGTTTTGCTTTGAGACAGGGTCTCTCTATGTCACCCTGGCTGTCTTGGAGCTTGCTATGTAGATCAGGCTGAACTTGAACTCACAGAAACCCACCTGCCTCTGCCTCCTGAGTTTGGTGATTTAAAGTGTGTACCACCACACCTGACATGAACAAATACTTAAAGAAAAGAAACCACTAAAGATTCTAAAGTGTTCGCATACAAAATATACAGTGCATTGAATTGTGTCTTTTGGACTTTCATCTTTGAATTTTCATCTTGGTTTCACACTCCCACCACAGAGGCAGGCTGAAAGCATAGGAGTGGGGATAGATAGAGCCTATAAAGTTGACCTGAAACTAAAATGTTCTTTGTCTCAGGATGTGACATGAGATAGAGGAGAGCCTGTAGCCCTTCAGTCAGACACATGTGCAGGATGCTCAGTGTAGTGCCTACCCACCCTTGGAGACTGAGGCTTTTGTTTTATTTGGGGACGGCTGTTTCCTAGTTGACCCACTGTTACAGCCAACCACTCAAGGGTACAGAAGCCAGAGCAGATAATTAGACGTGTACAGTTTGAGTGTGGAGTGTCTCCCACAGGTTTGTGTATTTGAATACTTGTACCCCAGCTGGGTCATTGTTTTGGAAAGTTGTAGAACCTTTGGGGGTAGAACCTTCCTGTGGTAAATGGGCATTGAGGGTAGGCCTTGAAGTGAGCGCCCAACCTCACTTCCTGTCCACTTTTTCTGTTTCACCAAGATGTGAGGGCCATCAGGAGCCCTAGCTATCCACTGCTGTCACCATGCCCTCCCCTCCACGATGGACTGTGAGCTTCAACAGGAAGCCTCCTTTTCTTTTTTTGTCCTGGCCAGCTGGCCTTCCCTCCTTCCCTTGCTTTCTCTGTGCTTCCCTCCCACCCTCCCGTGATATGCCTGGGCTGGCAAGCATGAAGGAGTCTAACCCCAGCAGACCCTGCTACTCACTCCCTTTGGGCAAAGATCCTCTAGGCGTTTCCTTATCCCCTGGGATGACCAGCTAAATCAATCTTCCCTCCCTCCCACCCTCCCTCCCTCTTTCCCTTCCACCCTCCTTCCCTCCCTCCTCCAGCCTTCCTTTTACCCACTAGCAGTCATTTCCCTCCAGGTATGAAGGGGACAATAACTGACTTCTGTGTCTGATTTTAGTTCAAGACTTTCTGTGACCCTGTTAAAACTCAGAATTCAATCTACTTGGAGTATTTCAAAAGATGCAGCACCTTTTTTTAAATTACCAATAAAAGAAAGTAGAAATTATAGCTACCCCCAATCAGCAAATGACAAACAAATACCCTTGGAAGTCACTGTCACATATAGAGTGCATTTTAGGAAGGAGGGGCTGAGCAGCATCTACCCACCTTCACCCTGCTTCATGAACTTCATCAGCTACTGGAGCCACGTGCTGGTGAGGAGAGAAGGCAACTGTTGCGGAATATGTTATTAAATGAGGCACTTCTATGCTCCTTCCTCAGAGCATCAGGTGCGGACGGACATACTTGCTAAACTAGGACCTGGGGAGTTAGAATGTAGAAATAATCTGTCCTCCTCCCCAATGGCTGTCCTCTGGTTAACAAATTAAAAAGGAACAAATAAAAAACTAAAAACAACCTTTCTATATACCCCAAAAGGAGAGAAGTGGGGGCACCAAAAATAGCCCAGATTACTCTCTAAATGGAACCAGGGAGCAGCTTTGATAATTCAAAGAAGTATTGCAAAGTCAATCCAAGCATGTCTTGCTTTAAAATAAAACAAAGTAGTGGGAAAGTTGTTTGTTTAAAGATGGAAACAAAAACTAGCACTCATTACTTTCTGACAATACAAAATTAGCTAGTATTGGGAGGGCAAGGGGGGGTCATGCCGTTGGCCTCACCTCTCATGGTGCCTGTGGAAGGTGTAAGACATTGAGCAATATTGTGGAAATAAGTTTTCCCTTTTAACCTTTAGTTTGATTTAAATGTTGCTTCAGTATGATGATGGCATGAGTTGTGCGGAATGGGCTCTGGAAAGGCTTCCCAGCAGCTGTGCTGTGGTTCTTCTGTGCTGGAGGCTCCCCGCAGCCAGTATTGCTTCATCACACACATTCTTCAGGCTGTTCTGTGTGGGAGCAGAGCACTCAGCACACTTGACAGCCTTTGTCCTGGGCCAGCTTTTCAGTGGGTTCTGGTGGGAGAGGCTTCTGTTTGCTCAGCAGTGGAGCAATCACCTCTGAGGTCAAAGGTGGGTCCAGACATTCTGGAAAGGATTCTTTAGACAGTAGTGAGTTGTCTCAGGCAGCCACTTTCCCTCCACGTTTTCCAGTGAGGAGGGAGAACCCTGGAGAAAAGCGTGTGTGTTGGTAACTCAATAGGATATCACAAGATGTTTCGCAGTGCCACCATTGCCCACAGCACACTCAATGGTTTGCATTTAGGGAACAGTTTTAAATCCACCTTACTACTTCAGATTAGATGTTGACCTCAGCTCCTCCCACCACGATGGGGGGGGGGGGCATTGGCAGCATCCCTGACTTACCCTCTTAAATCTAACCGGGAAATACATGCAGACTTTCTACCAGCAAAGGAAACTTGTAACCTGTGAGTCTGCCTCAGCCACCCAGTGACTGCTTCCGTTGATCCTACGGAAAACATTACAATCTTGTGGAAATTCTGCTGCAGATTGCGATTAAAGAGTATTCTATAAACTAGTTCCCAGATCGTTCTAGAATCCCTGCTCTCCTGTCCACTGGCTCTGCCTCTGGGCCTTCTCTGGAATGTGGGTCTCTTCTATTAAGTGTTGGCTAGCCACGGGAAGGAGAAATCCTGGAAGAGCCAGGAGAACGAGCCTGGGTGAACAGTTATTAGAAGTACAGACCATGTATACAGAGGAAAAGCTGAAGCCTGGGGTCAAACGAGACTGAAGCAGGCTCCGGGGCCAAGACCATCTCTGGTAGCTTCTCAAGAGACAGCAGAGGTCAGAGTGTAGGCCCGAAGGTTGACACACAGATGACAGTTGGAATAAGCTGGAGACTGAGGTTTGTTTTTTATTTTAGTTTGTATTGTTGTGATAAAACACCTTGACCAAAAGCAACATGGGGAGGGAAGGGTTTATTTCATCTTGGAGCTTGTAGCTCTTCATTCAGAAAAGGCAGAGAAGGAACTCGAGGCAACCTGGAGGCAGGCATTGATGCAGAAGCCATGAAGGAGGGAGTGTTGCTTACCAGTTTGCTTCTCTTGCATTGCTTAGTTTGTTTTCTTAGATACCCAGGACCACCCACAGTGGGCTGGGCCCTCCCACACCAATCAAGACTATAAAGCACAGGCTTATCTACAGTAGTATCTTATGGAGGCATTATCACAATCCAGGTGCCCACTTATCCAGTGATCTGATGACTCTAGGTTGTGTCAAGTTGACAAAAATCTAGTGTGTGTGTGTGTGTGTGTGTGTGTGTGTGTGTGTGTATACAAGCATGTTCATGCAGGAGTTGAAGGGACCAGTATTTGGCATAAGATACCCTAAGACCAAATTTTCAGCATAAAGGAGTTTTCTCAGCCCTAGAGCGACAAAAGTATTAAGTCTTTCTGCTGATGCAATAAATCAGATCAGGCGGAATAAATAGTCCAGGTTTAACAAGCAAAGCATTCCCGAGTGATCCCAAGGGAAGAAAGAGAACCAGGTGGCAGTGTCTTAAATAGCCTGTCTTGAGCATCCCTGGGGGAGGAGCTACTGGTGGCTGGCTTTGGGGGCAGGGTATGGAATGGGAGCAGTGAGGCTGGGTAGAGCTTCCCAACAGGGAAGGGAACAAGGAAGAAAGAGAAGGGGTATTTGAGCTGGAGAGACAAAGGACTGCCTCTGGATAGAGAGGAGACAGACATGGCGTATAGGCAGTTTATAAAGGGAAAGGGGAAACCCTGTGTTAGGATGAGGTGTCTAATTTCAACTGGGCATGTTAATTAGGGCACCACAGGAGACTTTTGGTTCTTTCTGTAGCTTACAAGGCAGGGAATGAGTCAGTTCTCTCTTTCCACCATTGGGCCAATGACTTCCCATGTATTAACTCATGCAAAGCTCCCCCAAATCCTGTGCACTAGGCAGTTCCCACTTTATAGACAGGAAACTGATCTTCCAGTCAGCAATGCAGCTGGTAGTATTTTATCATCTCTGAGTTACATTAAATATTATTTCTAAAGACTATAAAAACATACAATATGACAACTATGGGCATAAACAGCATTTAGTATCTTGTCTGTTTGCTTGTGGGACCATCATAGTGTCAATCTTGAAGGCATTAAGTTTCTGGGTGCCAGTCATGACATTCTTACTGCATCATGAAGCAGGAACTCATGGAGGTAATAAAACTGATTTATTAAGGGTTGCAATGAAATAGACAAACTCACAAAACACAGAGAAGGGCTGAAGCTGCCTCTGATGCCACGCTGACTCTCCACCATTGGGTCTCCCTCACCCCATGCAAGAGCCAGAGCAAGAAAACAAGAGAGCGAGCAAGACCCCCCCCCCATTAAAAGAGATCATGCGCAGGGGCCAGGCCTTTAAGGCAGGCACCCCAAAACTATTGGTGGAATGAATTCACACAACAGCATCACCAACCAGTATCTAGATATTACAAAATATCCCCAGTGGTTTGTTAACAGTGCTACCTGACACAAGTTTCATAGAGAGTAAAGGGGCCATTTCTTCCCTAGAGTGCTTTCCGAGAAGATGACGACTTTAGTGACGAAGATGCTGATGAAGAGGAGGATATTGAAAACATCCTTGAAGAGGAGTTTCCAAAAGATGAGGAAGAGATGAATGAGGAAGATGAGGAACAGGAAGGAGAAGCAACTGAGCGTCTGCGAAGCGAACTGGGAGAAAAATTCGAATCCGATACAAGTAACCTACAAATAATACAGGTTATGGCCTTCCTTTCATCATCACATAAAAAGTAACAACCTGGGAATGCAAAGAGGGAAATTAGGCTCAGTGTCTTATTTTTTGTGATATTTCAAAAGAATATTTCAGGGCAGCAGGCCCTTTGTCAGCATTTCCTAACAGTTATGAAATTCACAGATCAGCATGGATGCCTCCAAGGTCAGAGTGGGGTCATCTCCCCACGGGCAGCCCCTTATAGAGCTAAAAGATACGTGTCTTATATGATTATGTAGTCACCATACACCATATGTCTGTATGCTGTACAGACAGCATACACAGCATATATTGTTTACACTGGTAAACAATATAACAAGCTTTATAATTTCTCTTATCAGGAAGAATTCGAGAAGTATCTGATACCAATAATTACAGTTAACGGAACTAGGAAAATTCACATTGTACAATATATGTTGAATTTGAAATTGAAGCCACTAGTGGAAAATCGGGCAAGCATTTTTGAAAAGTGTTATCCGGTGACGGCACGCCTTGCTCATAAAATGCTGGCTTTTACCTACAAATATATAAGCTCATTTGGCTACTGGGACCCTGTAAAGGTAATGTCAGACAGTTCATCTGAAAACCATCATGCCTGTTTCATTAAGTTGTTTGGGAGAATGTAGTTGTTTTGAAAAGCTGTTAACATTATATAAAGCAGTTATGAAAATATTTGGGGGGCTGAAATGTAGCCATCTAGCTTGCATCTTTGCTTTTGCTAAAAGATACATGACACGGAACTGACACTCTGCCCCACCTGAATTTCTTTGCATCCCTAACATTTACTCCCAGACAGCCCAGAATTTCATTCCAGTCTAAGAAAGAATGTCAGTCCTGATGATACTATTGACAGGTCACTATTCTGCAGTAACTCTCACAGGGAAGCAATGTGACTGTCTTAGTTAAGGTTTCTATTGCTGTGAAGAGACTCCATGACCACTGCAACTCTAATAAGGAAAACATTTAATTGGGGCTGGCTTACAGTTCAGGGCTTTAGTCCATTATGTTCATGGGGGCATGTGTTACACAAATAATAAAAACCCAAAGACAGATATTGGGGTTCAAGCTGAAGATCAGAAAAGCAAAGCAGCCAGCCACTAGAGAGTTTTTACTTCTCCCAAGGCTGGAGTGATCCTGTTCTCACTGCGACTGCAGACTGAATACATTGCACTCCTGACTCTACCCACCTTATAGTCCTCTCTTGTGCTGGGGTTAAAGGCATGCACCGCCACCGCCCAGCTTTCTATGGCTAACTAGAGTGGCTGCTGAGATTAAAGGTGTGTGCCACCACTGTCTGGCCTGTATGGCTGACTAGTGTGGCTAGCTTTGCACTGTGATCTTCAGGTAAGCTTTATGTGTTAGATCATAAACAAAATATCACCACAGGCATGCAGGCAGACACGGTGCTGGAGAAGGAGCTGAGAATTCTACACCTTGATCCACAGGCAGCATCAAGAGTCTATGTCACACCGGATGTAGCTTGAGCACAGGATAGCGCAAAGCCTACCCCCAACACAGACACACTTCCTCCAACAAGACCACACCTACACTAACAAAGCCACACATCCATTTTCTTTCACACAAACCACAGTGACTAAACTATTTCACACCTGCTCTGTCATTTTCAGGAAAGACGGTGCCTACCAACCTAATGCTATCAAAAGTTCTCCAGACCTAACATCAGTTAATGATCCACTCTTCCTACACCATTCCATACCCATAACTTAGGCTGTCTTTGGTGGCTGTTTTACATTTCATAGCTGTTGTTAATGATGTGATGGGATGTCATCTGTTCCAAAACCATGGGAGGAATCTGTACTGCCCATTTCAGATAACATAATAAAACCCGAGACAGGGCAGGTTAACCAATGTAATTTATTTTCTAGTAGTTCTAAAGGCCTCCCATCCACGTACTCACCAGGCCCAATTCTGCTTAGCTTCAAATCAGGCACATTCGGGGTGGTATTGCCATAGACTAATGATTCTAAAGGTAAGAAGTGTTTCTAAAGGTAATAAATGAAGGTGTTGACGATGGCGTCTCCTCACCTGATCTAGCACCTTCTCACAGTGTCCTCATGTGGAGCTTTCTCTGTGTATGCCCATTGTGTTCCTTCCTCCTGTCAAAAGAGCCCCATCCAACTGCTTATCCTTTTGACATTATTCTACCTTAATTGCCCCCATATAGGTCCAGTCTCCATATACAGTCACATTGGTAACAAGAGTTCCAACATAAGGACTGTAAGGGACAGGGGCAATGCAATCTACAATATCACTTTAGAAGTGTGTCTGTTTGTGAGGACAAATTAGATCACTAATAAGTGTAACAATTTCATACCCTCTGACAAAACCATTCAATATAAGCATGACACATTATGAAGTAGAACTGTAATTGTCATAAGCTAAAACCAACTAGAAGACATTACACCAACCAGATATGACATGAAATAACCTGCACTTTGCATACAGTTACTTTGTTAGTATTTATAATTTAAATTGTTTGACTATAAGAAAAATTATGTTCTTACATTTTACAAACTTTTCAAATAGATTGAAGGAAATGCTTTATAAATGAAATCTAACTTATGAATTCAATTGTATTACAGCTAATGGAAGGAGAGACAATCAAGCCTGTGGAGAATGCAGAGAATCCTCTTTTCGCTGTAATCCATCGTCAGTATATTTATTTTTTATCTAGTAAACAAACCAAAGAAAAATTTATGATGAACCCAATCAAATATATCCGGCAACCCAAGCCCAAAGCTACTATGCCTGTGAGGATTATGATAGTGGGGCCTCCCAAGTCAGGGAAAACTACAGGTGAGTGTGTCTGTCTTTGTTCCTCAGGCATCACAGGAGCTCTGAAACCCAGCACCAGCTCTCCAGGAGCCAGACATAAAATCCGAGGGTTTCCATGGTACCTGTGCTAATTTACATCCCCACCGACAATGTAGAAAAGGATTCCTTTCTCTCTACATCTTTGCCAGAATTTATCTTTTTAGAATAATAATTATTAAGGCTGGATTGGGATGGGATGTAAATATAAAAATTACTGTTTCCAAGCATTTTATGGAGGACTCTTAGATCTATGTCATCGAGAATGTTGGTCCATAATTTCTATTTTGTCTTCTCTTCTTTTTATTAGGTTTAGTACAGGGAAATAGTAGTTTCATGTAATGGATTTCTCTTTCTTTTTGATGGAATACTTTGAGAATAACTTATATAAACTATTTTTTAAAGTTTAAAAAAATTAACAATGGATCCAGTACTGGGCTTTTCTTCTTTGGGGACTTTTTATTACTGCTTCAGTCCCATTCTTTGGTATTGATTTACTTCAGTTTTTTCATAGCCTCTTGAATAAAATTTGGTAGGTTACATGTATCCATAAACTCATTCATTTCATCTAGATTTTCTAATTCACTGATGTATGCAGGGATCTCTGTAACCTTCATGGCCAGCAGAAAGATGATCTGTGGGAGGCAAGAAGGCAGTTTGGTTCAGCACAACTCAGTAGCTGGTGTTAGTTCAAACTTCTGGAGTCTGACTATTTTAGGTATAGTTTAATACAGCACAATTTGGAAAACTTATTCTGATGATAATTAGCTGAATCCCGTGTGCATAATAAAGCATACATAAATCTCTTTGAGGGACAAGGTAAACTAAATACAGATCAGACTTGAATACATTGAAACTCATTGTAAGTCCATAAAGATGGGTTCGGCAGATTACCTTGAATGAGACACGCATATGATAAAGCCTGGGGAAGGATCTGGTGTGGTCTCCAGCCACACAGATAGTGCAAAAGTTACCAGGTTGTTAACCACATCAGCTCCCAGCCTTCTGGCCAGTTAACAGGGTATGCAACCCTTCGGTCAAAGGAACAACCCTGTGTGTTTAACATTCAGGTTCCCCTAGTGTTTGTCTGTGAGTACAAGGACTTTCATGCCTCTTACAGATGTATAGATTATCAAAATACTCCCTAATTATCCTATGAATTACAGGGAATTTGTTGTACTATCCAGTGCCACCCTTAATTTTATTTGTTTGGGCTTCTCCATCTTCTGCTTATTTTATCTCAAGGTTTGTCATTTTCGTTTATCTTTTCGAAGGACCAACCCTGTGTGTTACTGACCCTTTGTGTTGTTTAGTTTCTATTTTGTTTATTTCTGCTGTGGTTTTGTTATTTCTTTCCATATGCTGGTTAAGCCTTTAGTGTATTCTTGTTTTTGTTTTATTTTTGTTTGTTTGTTTGTTTTTGTTTTTTTTAAGAATGAGATACACTTTAGGTTTTTCAATTGGTAGCTCAGGTTTTAAAGAGTAAACACTCATAGCTACAAAATTTCCTTATAGTACTAATGGGGGGGTTGTTTTGTTTTGTGGGGTTTTTGTTGTTGTTGTTGTTTGTTGTTATTGTTGTTGTTGTTTTTGGCTTTTGCTTTCATTTCCCACAGGTTCTGGTAGCTGTATTACCATTTTCATGTCATTCTACAACTTCTTGTTTCCCCTTTGACTCCTTCAGTGACACACCATTCACTGAAAGCCTGGCTTAATCTCCATGTGTTTGTATAATGTTTGTAGCTGTTCCTCCTTTGGTTTCTAATGTTTTCCTTTTTGACCTGAGACACTGGGAGTTGTTTCTGTTTTGGGATTTGTTAAGAGTTGCTTTACAGCCCCTGCATGATATATTTTGGAAAAACTTGAATGTGCTGAAAAAGAATATATACTCTGCCTCAGTCGGTCTCTGTTAAGTCCATCGGCCCTAAAACAGCAGTTCTCAACCTGTGGGTCACAGCCCCTTTGGAGATCACATATCAGATATTTACATAATATTTCATAAAAGTAGCAAAATTACAGTTATGAAGTAGCAACAAAAATAGTTTTATAGTTGTCTTAGGGTTTCTATTGCTGTGAAGAGATACCATGACCTCAGGAACTCCTATAAAGGAAAACTTTTAATTGGGGTGGCTGGCTTATAGTTCAGAGGATTTTAGTCCATTATCATCATGGAAGGATGCATGGCAGACATGGTGCTGGAGAAGAAGCTGAGAATTCCACATCTTTATCTACATGCAGCAGGCAAGAGAAACGACTTGAGCTTCTGAGACCTCAAAGCCTGCTCCCACAGTGACGCACTTCTTCCAACAAGCCACACCTCATAACAGTGCCACTTCTTATGGGTTCCATTTTCTTTCAAACTACCACAGGGGTCACCACAACATGAGAAACTATATTAAAAGTCACAGAGTCAGGAAGGTTGAGAGCCACTGATTTAGAGTATACTTTAACCCTGGTGTTATTTTGTTGACTTTTTTCCTAGATGATCTATCTGTTGGTGACAGTGGGCTACTGCAGTGATCCCCTGTTGTTGCATTGGGGCTGGTTGTTCACTTCCTGTCCAGTAGTGTTTGTTTATGGTGGTGGGACTCTGACATTATGTACAATCAATGTATCTTCTTGATGTATTAGTTGCTTTCTTATCACCGTGACAAATACTTGGCAGAAGCAACTTAAGGAAGGAAAGGTTGGCCTTGACTCACTGTTTAGGGAGTACAGTCCGTGACAGTGAGGGAAGAATGGCGGCTCAGTCTAAGGCAGTGGGTGCTTGCGGCTGCCATGACTTCACATCTCAGCAGGTCAGGAAGCACAGAGCTCAGGCTAAAACCTGACTTGAAAAGTTATGTCTCGAAAAGTTCTGTCCCCAGTGACCCCAGATAGTCAATAACTTCCCAAAACAGTGCCAGCAGCTGGTGACCAAATGTTCAGTACATGAGTCTATTCGCATTTAAATCACAGTATTCCTTTTATTTACAAAATTTACCTATTTGAGAATCTAAT